AGTATAGAACAAATAGTGTTCTTGTATATTGTTCCAGCCCTTCAATTCTATATTCAGGGCAACCTCTCAAATCAGCTGAATTCTTATGCTGATCCTATCAAAAGATAGAAATAGGATAGGCTGTTTTTATATTCTTACGAGCAAAAAGTAGAAAGTAAACTAGATGTCGGGAATAAACTTGCCCAGGATATTGTATCATATTTAAATTATTGCATTACTTATTCCTATATTTTTTATAATTATTGCATTATTTGTTAAAAGACCAAAATAGGACTGTTCATCTAGATCGCAATATGGTTTCTTAATTTCAATAGTAATTTGGTTTATTTGGGCAAGTCGGGGAGGAGAGGGGGGAGGGGGAGGTCAGAACTCATCCGCCTAGTGATTTGATTGCTTCCAATTAAGACTGTAATAGCAAAACTGAAATCCATGAAACTCTGAGGTGAACCAATCTAGGGAAGAATCTTCGAAAAATTATTGTTCATACGAACTTTTAGAAACAATTTCTTCCTATAGATTCTGTAGCTAAGTTACTTTCATTTATTGTTTTCAGATGTCAACTAATGCGAGATATGAAAATTTTAACAGGTCCATCTTTTCAGACTACGCAAACATGCGGACAATCGGCTCGACCAGCATCTGGAGATCGTCGTATGAGTATATTTGGTGTGTCATTACGTGGACATCTGGAATTACAACAACGAAATATTCCACTAATACTTGAATCAACCATTGATGAACTACAAAAACGGGGAATGAGAGTCAAAGTAAGTGTTTTATGAGTCACGAGAGAATTTTTGCCATCACTTTTCTCAACCGGTTTATCCATTTGGTTATATAAGTTAATGTATTGCGACAATGTTGAATTCGAGTTAGGAGGGTGTAGTTAAGTGGGAAGGAGAGCGTGTTATTTGGAAAAGTTACATTTTTTTGGATTATTGGCCTTTAAGTTAAGATATTGAATATTTAACAGGCAGTATTTGACATTTTTGACACACAGTCGCTAAGCAGCAACCGCCGCGCAACCGCGACGCAAATGCTCGCATAGCTAGTCATTCGCATGTGCACTCCTATTTTCCAGTGGAGCACACTTTGTTGTGGTTGGATTGAATTCATAGCAACATATCTCCAATTAAAGTACAAGAGAAAATGCGGAGCCGTGAGATAACCGCTCGCATGACTAGAGCGTTGTTACAACCTATATTTTTAAAGGGTGTTTAACTAAACCTTAAAAATAATTTTCAGGGCATCTATCGAACGTGTGGCGTAAAATCAAAGATAGAAGAGATTTGTGAAGCGTTCGAACGTTGCCAAGGTGAATCTGCCGTCGATCTGGCGCACGTCCATCCAATGAATCTAGCATCAGTCATCAAACTATACCTTAGGAAACTTCCCGAACCTTTAATGACATTTGAAGCGTATAATGATTGGATTCGATTTGGTAAGGTAAGACTAATTGAATCAATTATCGATCGTAGATTTTCGCTATGTTGTTCGCTGAAATTGAAGGAGGACCATTATAGAAATGTACGGGAGAAGCCGACGAAGCCGATATTGAAGAGTTGAAACGACTTTCACGTCGTATGCCCTCATATAACTATGAGACGTTGAAACATCTAATGCTACACTTGAATCGGGTCACGTGGTAAGTTTAATTTGATTTGATCGGAGAAAACTAGGTTTTTTAAATGTAGATACTGCAAAAGGGTAAAGTAGCTGGGCCACACCCTCTCGCACCTTATCCTCCTGCACTGATGATAATTTCACTTCAAAGAACAGCATACTGTAGCGACAAAGAACAACATACTGTAGCGAACCTGTTACAGAAAAGAATCTTTTATTCTTAACAAATGGGC